GGAGAAATATTGGGCTAAATTCATGCCTTGTGGAACAGCAGCAACCCTGATGAAGTACATCAGGCACGGATTTGGCCCACTTCGTTTTGAGTATTAATTTGATCAGGAGCAGTGACTCAACAACGCAAAGCCCACACAGCGAAGAACTTTGCTCTGCCACCATTGCAAGCTACGAGCACAATAGTTTGGCTTAGAAAATGGTAAAAATGCAAATGCTAAACATTTTTGCAAGTAAAAAAAAAAAAAAGCCCACTTCGTTTTGAGTATTAATTTGATCAGGAGCAGTGACTCAACAACGCAAAGCCCACACAGCGAAGAACTTTGCTCTGCCACCATTGCAAGCTACGAGCACAATAGTTTGGCTTAGAAAATGGTAAAAATGCAAATGCTAAACATTTTTGCAAGTAAAAAAAATGAACAGCAATGTTAGGAACAGAAATGAGGTGGAGGCTAGTCGTCTTGAGAAAGGCGATTTTTTCAAGTGAATTCAGTAGCCCTCTCCATCTAAAGACCACAAGCAGGCTGCCCACCAGCTGCAGAGGCTGCTCTGCGCCACTCCTCGCACCAAGCCTCGGGTACCTTCTGAGGCACACATGAAGATGAGGAGACTCAGTCATACAGTGTTGTCCTCTTAACCCCCAGAGAAGGCTGTTGACACAACGGGACAGGCCTACAGTGGTACGTTGGCTGCCTGTGAACGAACCCTGGGCAAACCAAAGAAAAGCAATTCCTTCCCCTTTTCATGTGCAGGTGAAGGAGAGGGCTATGAGTATCCTTTGCCAGCCTCTCGCCCAGCTGTTGCCTGCCCAGTGGCAATACTGGTGTGGAAGCCCACCATGCTGCACCCTGTACTGTCCGGGAAGGATCCAGAAAACCCGTGCTTGTCCAGCCACCTACCTTTTGGATCCTCCTGGCCTCTCTGCTGAGACAGGGAGGCTGGTGAAGGACTCTCATGATGGTGCTTTTTCCTAATACAGGTATTTATCATCTCAGGATGGAAGGTATCGACCATTTTGGACTTGTCAGTCCTTACTACCTGCACAACTCGGATCCAAGTAGAAAGGCCTTTACATTCCCCACCCTCTCCTAACTTGAGCCAGCAACTTTTAAAACTCCACTGAGCATTTTTCAAAAGTTTTCCTACAAGGTTGATGTCGGCCCTTCAACAGCCTTGGGTACTCACGGCAGAAAGGCGGATAGCACCTTTCTACCATTAAATATATTAAAACTAGTGGTTCTGTCCCCTGCTTAAAGTGCAGTAACGCAGGTGTGATCTGGACTACTATCTGAAATCAATTACGACCATTAGAAAGAGTAACAGAAAACCCAGTACACAACCAGTTGTGTTGGTGGGGGACACATACCTGTCATTTGTGATAAAAAAGAGAAACAGAAGTGGATTTGAAACATTTGTTTCCCTTTATTTGCTCAGTGAGGCTGATGCGTACTGCACATTAAAAAAAAAAAAAGAAATCACAGGAATTTTCATACAATGAATTAAACCACAAAAGTACATGTAGAATTGGCAGGTGGAAAACAGCCCAGCTTGGGCTTAACTAATATCTTGCTTTCCCTGTTCAGCATAGTCCAACCAATAGCTTTACATGTTCACCTACTGTACCAATCTTACAGTAGCTCCATCAGGTCAGTGGTTCACATTATTGAAAATGTCTGTCACATAGGTACAAATTTAGAATCATCACATTATATTACATGGCTATTCTAGGTCATTTATAGATCAGATCTTATACTACAGTGATTGAAGTTCTCATTACAGCCATCAAAAAGGACACATAATCATTACCTACTGTAAGCTTATATCTAAAGGGATGAGAAGGTGTGGTTGGTTTGTTGTTGGTTTTTTTTTTTTTCAACTGACCCAAGTATTATACCCCAGAGGCACAAACTTTCCTCTCAGTGCTGTTCTTGGTGATTGCAGCCCAACTGCTTTTCAGAGTAGTTTCACACAGATATTATTCTTCAATTTTAGGCTCCCTCTGTTTGGCTTTGGATCATTTTAGGTTCTGTAGGAATTACTTTCTTACAGCTCTAGGAAAGACCATAGTTTCTAAGTATCAGTTCTGTTACCTGTATTGCAGATGTGGTACTTACCACAGCATGAAAGCGACAGTACAATCTTCATCTAAAAGACACACGGAGCTATGCTGCAATTTGCCTCCGGTGACAATGTGGTACATGTGCTAATTTGAAACGTTCTTGGGGGAGAAAAAAAGAAAAGGAAACACCGAGTTCATATTTTGATGGGTTACCTACTGCAGTGTCTACAAAGGACACAAATAGCTTTATTCAGCAATCCTAGCTCTATTAATTTCATATGTAATTTGTAAATCCACAGAGGAAAGCCATCTTCAAGATGAGAATGTTTGCCAGGCCAGTGAAAAAAAAAAATTGACTCATGTCATTATGCCTGCTTGGTGAAAAATAAATAATCCCCCCCCCCCCCCCCAAACCCCACACCAATTTATTCATGTCAGCAATCTAGGGCAAAAGAGAATGTATTTAAAATTTAATCACAGAAATTTAAAGGCAAAATAGGTAATGCATCTGGTCCTTGAACACATAATATGATATACTAAATATTGATTTCTTAAAAATAATTTATTGCTTTTAATATTTTTCTTTACAACAGAAGATACTCAAAATCCAGAAAGGAAAACTGTAAACTTTTAGTTTGGCATTCACACAAAGTTAAAATACCTGCATTTTTAACCTACAGAGCAACAACAAGAATTATGCAGATTAAAGAATGTTACGGTCGTAACACAGAACCTCCGAAAGAGTTCTTTTCTTTTTTTTTTTTTTATTGCTATCTATCTACTGAGAAGTAAGAAGCCAAAAAGTCAAGCAAGCATCCGACACGACAGACAGTGGAATCTCTCAGAACACAATATGCTGGTGATAAAATGAATGCAGCCTTTAAAATCAACTGCACTGGCATGGGGGTGGAATCAGTTTTCTAAGATTGGGAGTGGGAGAGGAGATTAAATAGTTCGGTGTGCCATACCTTTAAGAGGAGTCATGAATGCCAAACAGTAATAGAATACCAAATCTATACATTCGCAAGCAAATTCCAAACTTTGCTGATTCAGTCTCGAGACTCCGAGTTCAGATGAAATTCTGATGCTCAGAATAGCAGTAGTTTACTCTTGTGGTTTTTTTCTTTCCTGAAGTTTCTATTTAATTTAGCAGAAGCAATGTCATCAGCAACAATGTCATGGGCACATCTGAGGCCATGCTAGTGCATAGTAAAAAAAAAAAGAAAAAAAACCAAACAACCCACTGCTTCTGCAAAAGCTGAATTTCCAAACGAAGCACTTACTCCAAAAGGACAACCGTCATGCATCCTAGGTATAAAATTTCCACTGGCCTTTTTATTATTTTAGTCATCTCATAATTTATAATAAATAGGATAATTGTAACTGATAAATATGTCTCTTTAGTAAACAAAGGAATGAAGGATCGGTATTTATACAGGATGCATAACTGTAAAAAATATAGATAAATACCATCATTAAACTCTGCCAATGAAAAGATTACTGGCTTCAAGAACAGTGTTTAGACACAGAATTACTGTAAAAATCATACTGTACTTAGTACCTCAGCATATTTTTATCAAATTAAAATCACAAAAATTAAAACAAAATAGCATTTTAAAAAGATTTTTGACCTCTAGTTCCAAAACTACTGTTGATACATAAAATAAAAACATTTCTTAATGATTACCCATTTGAGAGACTTTACATAAAATTATGGTATCTCCTAGAAAAATTTAGATGAGAAAATTTCACTCCCCTAACAAATTCAGTGTATAAAACTGCAAAAGAAAGTCAAGCAATGAGAAAAATGTGGAAAAATACTGCAGAAGTGGTTAATACCTTTTGGGCTAGAATAATTCTTGACAAAATTCTTATATAAGCTCACCAAAGAAAGGATGAATGTGTGCAAAGCGTTTTTGCACTCAGACACGCGCGCGCACACATATACACACGCACACCCTCACCCACACGCTCTTCTCTCTTTTTTTACAATCAAATATATATAAGCGTAAGTTCAGCTTTCTACATATGTTAGTGTACAATAATTGTTTCACCTCATAATTACATTTGAGTATTCTTAAGAAAAAATCAGCAGTTTTTGAAAAGAAGGCTGCATTTACAGTGCATAGCTGTAACAAAAAAGAACATCGTCATACAGTATGTACATAAATAAAAATACTCCATTTAACATTTGTAAATACTCAACTACTTTAGAGAATGTAGCAAATAAACTATCTGTGCACACACCCAGATAGTTATATCCAACTCTGATTAATAATGTAACACCACGTCCGCTCATTAGAATAAATTGCTGAACAAGCTGCACATTTGACCATTAACAAGGCTTTGAAAATTTTGCTGTGGAAGATCAACGTTGTAGACATTTACATGGGTGTCAGAATTAAAAGATGAAACTTCAAAATGCTAGGGAAGCTTGAGCCTTTTATTTTCTCTTCTGCAAGGACTGAAAAAAAAACCCACAAAAAAAAAAAAAACCCAAAGAAAAGTAAAATCTTAAAACAAAGCTAAAACAGATTGTAGGCTTCTGGGACCTGTGGTTTCTTCTGGATTGTCATATTATCACTGTGTTGTGAGAAGAAGCTTCATTTAAAAAAAAAACCCAAACAATGCAGTGTCTGATTCCCAGACATCAGCAGCCATAGTTCTCAAATTTGTCTTTTTTTTTTTGTTTGTTTTTGTTCTTTTTTTGTTAAAATGCAGTATGTACAGATTTTGCAGTTCATCGTTGTACGTGTATCTCTGTGGAACTGCTGCCAAGTCTCGTGGTTTGCGTCGAACTTGCAAGGAACGCCCGGCTCCCCCGCCACCGATCACCCATGAAAGCAAAGCTGACACCCATGGACACGCATGTGCTTACTGGACAGCCATCCTGCCTCTCCACTCCTCGAGCAGCTGTGTTCATGTAAACCATGGTTTTGAACAGAGAGTGTAAAGTAGGAGAAATTCCTAAGTATGACTTTTTAATTGTCCATTATTGAAGGACGTGATGTCCGTGAGGTATTCGCCATCCCTCTGTTTTCCTCAGGTGTGATGCATGTTACCTACGCAGGCTCCGCTGTGCCTCTTTAAGTAAACTATCAAAATCCATGGAGTCATATTTGCTTTTAGTGGAAGCAGGATCAAAATCATCTGAGTTTGAATCTGAAACCCAAAGGATACAAGTTTAGATAAGAGGCAAGAACCACCAGCAAGTACTTACGTTATTTTCTCTATACAACAGTACAAACAAGGCACTGCAGAAACAATCTACTTAACTGCAAGCTTATGGGACGACAAAAGCCCAGAATTTGTCATCAGAGAAGCTTTAGATATGGACAGAGCTTTCTGGTAAGAAGCAGGACTTAACAAAAGCAGTACATCAGCAGCAGCAGTGGGGGAGATCCATAAATTGCACCTATAGTACCTATAGAGCAGGTAAACTCAAAACAGTTTCTCCAAGGACTTGAGCATCGACACACTATGTATAGGTCTCAAAGTAGTCTAGATAATCTAGATAATCTTGACAGATGCTTTACCCAAAACTCCAACATTGTTTTGCAGCTGTTCTTTTGCAACATGCAATACCCAAGACTCACTTCTCCTGAGAAAGGTACTAGGGTATGGTTCTTCAGAAAGCCAGGGCAGCCTGCGGGCAGCATGCAGGCGACACCGCTGCTTCTGCCCGTCCTGCCGTGGCGTCTTGTACAAGTCACTACACCTCCCTGAATCTCTGTTTTTGCTTCCGCTCTGATTTTTTGGGGGTTTGCTTGTTTACAGTGCGAGCAATTCAGGGCAGGGCCTCTGCACCACCGTACAAGCAACCTTAGGTGGGCTCCTCGGCTTTTTGCAGCGTATGTGCTAAGCCACAGCAGCAATAATGGTCTGGCTCCTGTGACCTGCTATACCTGCTCCAGCTTTGCCAGTTGCTCAGAGACAGACGTCAGTCTGTTCCTTGCACAGAGGAGGGATTGTACGACTGTGGCCATACAGCTCCAGTACGGCAATTATTGGCGTGGCTGCAAGCACTGAATTTCCTTTTGGAGTCATCCCTGCTTAACACTGACTCTCCCCGGTTCCTGTGTCACAGCTCCTTTATGAGAGTGCCCTTTTCTTGCCATTTCATGTGTTGAATTAATCAGAACTCCCCATCTACCACTATAAGACACACTGTGCATTAAATGTTCATTACAAGTTCTGCTAAGACAATATCTTCTCACAGAGGAGAGGTGTTAAACTTCTGACTACTATTTTCAAGTGTTTTCTTTCTTCTGTACTCAACCCAAAGCTGATTAATTCTCTCTGTCCTTGTACTAGCTCATGAATTTTAAAGTTCATCCTGCCATTTCCTTATGTAGCTCTATCAGATACTCTGCAAAAAACAGGGAATGCAGTCTAAAGTACAGAAGCTCAAGCTGTCAGCAGGACAAAGTGAAAATACCCTGCTCACAGACACTCTGGGAATCCCACTCAGTACGGCAAGACCTGCCAGGGAATACTCCCAGTGATGAATAATGTTCAAGAGGGGTCCCTTCAGACAACTTATTTTAAACCCCAGATTTTCTGAGATACAGAGACGACCCTGGCTCCCACTGCTGAAGATAAGTCAAATCAAGTCAAGACTTCAATCTGTTTTTACTGTTTTTATCAGCCTACATTTCAACAAATGCCTTGCTACCTTTTATATTTTCAACATCAACCCTATATCTCTTCAGCAGTCAATTGCCTTTTCTTAGCTTTACATTATCTGTTTAGCCACTGAAGTGAATTATAGCATATTCATCGTGAACAATGCGTATCGTCTTTATCATTTATTCTGAAAAGACATCAATTGGTTAGAAAAAATACATCTGTATTCACTTCCTGCATTGTACAAAGCCGAGGGCAGCACATACAAGATTTCATTAGCACTGTGTTACAGGGTTATGAGAGATTTTAATGACTGTGGTCATTTATTCACAAAAAACCACAATATCTGATTAATATAGATTCAACAGCAAAATGTCCCTGGCTATGTTATTCAGAAAAGAGTATCTCCCATACCTTTAGTCTATTTATACAGGTATTAGGAAGGGTTTAACATTTAATGAATACTTTACATTTTAAAAGGTAATTAAATTAGAGGTGAGTTTATAATACATTATAATATTACAGAGGATGTTTTGGTAGTCTGCACGGTCTCTTTATGCATATACTTAACATCAGTATTCCTGTTGCAAGACTTTGAACATCTCCAAACATCCTTGCAAGGGGAAGCATCACACCCAGACCACATCACACCTGACCCAGAGCATAGGACAGAACCACACATTTTAGCCCAGACAGGACTAGGACAGACCCAGATGTCTTATTGCAGCCAGTATGCACACTCGGTACTGGAGTTATCACAGCATACTGGGGTCTGGAGACTGGTGTGCTTACTGCCCCACATCAGTGGGACAGCAAACACTAAGAGATTTGCTAAGGTCTCCAGAAGTCCCTGCAAGGAGACACCTTCAGACATAGATGCTTATGCACGACTTGAGAACCACCAGTTGGGATCTGTGGGCTTTGCTATATACTAAGGGTCAGATTTGGTCACAAGCCCTTCCAGCTTCCAAACCTGAGAAACTATGAATAGTGTTTAAGGAGTGTCTCTGGCAAGTTTTACACATCTACTGCACAACTCATGGCAAAGTAAAAATCATAATGGATTTTTTGGGGTGAGGCATCTACTTTGTTCTCTGTTTATTGCTTATAAAAATAAATCAGGCATTAGAACCAAGCAGTCATAGCATAGCAATGAATAGCAAAGCGTGCAGGAGGTTTCTATGGTGCTTTCATTTCAATATGGAAACGTATTATTGAATATCTGGCACTTATTTTTGATAATGATGGAAACCGGCTTAGAAAGACTTTTCACAGTCTGAAACATCTGAAAGAAGCCAGCTCAGATTAGAGCTGAGATTAGTAGACTTTTAAACTTCGTGCAGCAAGTGAAAACCACTTCCTTTAACCCCTCCCAATCATTTAAATAATATAAGCAGCAAACAAAAAAGAAGCAAACCCTAAGTCCTCCTGAGTTACAAGGTTCCAGTTATGTACTTTAATTCCCACAGAGCAAAACACCTACCTAGGTCTGCATAGTTAGACTTGCAAAATTGCTTGCGTCCACAGAAGTACAGCTCAAAGTCAGGTTCATTTGACCTGCGTAAAGTGTATCCATTTTCAAGAGCAGCAAAGGCGTCACAAGTATAGCGGTAGGTGATGAAACCATAGCTGTCTCTGCAATTGAAAAATACAGTTGAGAACAAAAGCTGAAAAGAGTTAACACACATTAGTGTAACCCCTTCCAGAAAGCAAGAACTTGCAGGAGATCCAGCAGTGGAAATGCCAGAAGTACTGCATCCATTTATCAGCGTGATTGTCCTGTCACGCAGCTAAATACTTATTTCTGGGACAGGAAATCTCAACTAGCAAGATTAATAAATAAGGATGAAAGAAAATAAATAAGGTTTTGAACTCAGCATGTCATCTGTCACAGCACTTACATTGGTAACTCCCATACCAGTAATCCTACTGCCATATTTTTTTACATATGGTAGCTCCCAAACAGGAAGTAATCTCCAAAGTTCTTACCCATCATCCTGCAAATTTACTGTGCACTCCTCAATTTCACCAAAAACTTCAAACCGGTCCCTCAGTTCTGTTCGGGTTGTGTCAGGTCTGATTTTACCCAGATAAATCACACGACGTTCTTCCTGTTGAGAAACAGCAACAGGGAAGGCACGTTTTTAACAAACATGTAATAGATATGAACGTATACATAAATACACACAAATACACACACATGGATGTGCAGGGGATGCATAATTATAGTAACAGTCTCTTGTGAAAGACCTACTGCATCTTGCTAGTAAGTGAAATAGTTTTCTCCTGGAAAACATCTAAGGTATTTAAACAACACTACGTTTGTCAGGTGGTGTGCTCCTGGAAGGTTTCACTGCTTGCTGTCACTCTTCTGCTATACACTGTCAGACAGCTCCCTTTGTATCCTGCCGCACCTTCTTCTCTTCCATCCTTTCGACCACTTTCCCCCCCAAAGACTGTAAACTCTTTCAAACCAGGAGCTCCCTTTCTCTTGCCATCTATACAATATTGGGCAAAACCCATCTTAGTTGTGGAGTAGTATAAAGTAACACAATAATTGCATAAATGTACCACAGACATAACAAAATGTATTACAAACATAACATTATAAACTCAGATGACTCAATAGCCCATTCATCCTGCAATCAACTGTTCCACCATAATCCATACCTTAAAATAGAGTGAAAATTACTAGGGGTCCAGAAGATTACTTTTATTAAAACAAATTTTTTTTTTGGGGGGGGGGTGGTGGGTGGGGCGTGGGAGGCAGCACAATAAAATATATCCTGTGGTCGCCGTTACCTTTCTGTCTCTTTGGAAAAAAACCCCGACTGAAGTCACTGATTTTTACAGGCTAGGGTGTTCTTCGACACATGGAGCAAAGCACCAAAGACTCTTTCAGAACAATCAAATCATGGTCATATCCTTCCTTCCTGAGTGGAAATGCTCAGCAGAATGACAGAAGGACTAGGAAACCCTGTGAGAGTCACTTTATGAATTTTTGGATGAACACTGTACTGAGGGTAGAGCCATTTAGTGAGCTGCAAGCAAAGCAAAAGGCAAAAAGATCTTCAAAACACTGACCTTAAGGTAATCGGGGCAAATAAGCACCAGCTACACATGGCTTGGGTGCTCAGCCTGGCTGTCTCAGATTGCCCCTGGCCTGCAGAAGTCTGGCACTACCAGCCCTACTGCTCATCCCTTACACACCCACACATTCGTCCCATAAATTCAACCACCACCACCACATTCTCAGCTGGCGTAAATCTGTCAGTCAGTGGAGCAATATCAGTTTAAACCATCAGCTTTGGCACCTGAGACTTGCGCAGAATTTAGGTGCCAAATGCTGAAGGAGCTATAGTGACTGCTGAGAATTCATGACTATCGTAACCTGGAGGTGCCTAAAGGCTAATGGCACCTCAACTGCGTGATGCAAAAGGCAAATATGGACTTGCATTCCTCCTCAGAAACATCCTAGCCCGAAGAGACAGGTAGCTTATAGTGTTACAATTCAGATACAGCATGAAATGTATCTTTTCCATGAGTCTCCACAGAGGCATAGGGCACTAGTCCTTCTTGGACCACTGATAATAGGATTGAGATCAGACCAAAACACGTGTAGAAACAGAAATGATCCTGATGCCTCTTCTTTACTTGTTTGAGCACTCGCTTGAGATGAAGGGACTATCAGAACTCTCAGTTATGGGGGCCCAAAATCTTGGCTCCCTGTTCCCAGGAGAACACTCTGCTCCCCGGAACTGTTTAATGCAAAATAAATAAAAAATTCCTGCAGTGGGAAGCTGAAAGAAACTCCTTCTCACTAGCACGCTTAGTCAACTATTTTCCCTGACTTTTCCCAGCCTCAACACATCTGAGAGGCTCAAATCCAGTTAATCTAAGCTCCTGAGAAATGAAAGTGAGTTTAAAGCTCCAGAAAACAGAGACCCAAGAATCACACACTCCTACCCAAAATTCCTACACACTAAGGTATGGCACATCAAGTGACCACTAGAAACACCTGTGTCCTTTATAGCTCCCTGGTCAGCCCAGTGGAGTCCCTGGTTGCTGTACCAAAGTATGTATATGCTCTGTTTAATCAACGGGATGAGGTAAGTATCTCATTTAGATGCTTGAAACTACTGCCTCTTTTAATTATATAAGGAAACAAGATGACTGCCTTGATAGTCCTCTACAACCCTGCTGGGACAGACACGTTCATTTTTAAATGTTATGCCTTCCAAAGTGCATGGTCCAAAAGCTGTCCTTGTTCTCTGCCACAGCAGTGCAGTTTGGAGAAGCTAGCACGGCCAAAAGAAGGACAAGTGCACTCATGAACTGCCATAAATTTAGGGAAGAGGGCTACTTTACAGACAGCTGCTGCTTTTTATCTCTGTCGCTACTGTGCCCCAGTCCAGAAAGTGACCCTCCTGACAGGAGTTTGGGTAGGGCTCCTGCAAACTAGGGACTGCACAGTGCAAGCAACAGAATCTGCATTTCCTTCATTTCCCCCATTCTAATTCTGCTTACTTTCAGTATGGTTGGGTGCCATAAACTTCAAAACCAGGAAAATCTGCATATGCAAAGTAATTACTTTTTCAGAGTGTTTTACCAAATCAAGGATTTAGCCGCACTGAAACACTTGATAAGAAACAATTCCATTGATACTTGCTATTGAACCTAAATGGCTGACCAGATGGAGCAGAACATAACGTAGCAGACTGTCTAATATACTTTAGCTGAGATAATACATCTCAACTGAAAAAACATAATGTTTCACTCACTGACATGGAGATTGTTATATTACAGTGTGATGGAAATAATTAAAAAAACTGTGCAATTTTTCCTTCTTCTATTCCTCTAATAACCTTTATATCTCTAATATCCCTTTAAGACAACTATAATAAAACAAAACCGAACAATTAAAAAAAAAAGGCCTGTTAAACTATCATTAAGGGAATAAGTTAAACCTGCAAAATTAAGGAAATTCAAATTTAAAGCTGAAATGCACCATATGTCCTCCAGTGTGCACACATGAGGAGATGTGTTCAAGTATTTTTTTAAGCAGAGTGCCACGGTGGCACAAGATGCCAGGGAACACAGGATTCATACAGCATTGTCTTTGTCTTGCTTAACTTTCGTTTGTTTAAAGCAACCATGAAGAATGTATTTGTATTCACAGAGATACGTGCCTTTTATTGCCATTAATAATAAGTGGTATACAAGCCTAACAAGATTACAACATACCTCTAAATGTTAAAGACCTTTATCTTATAATAAGTTACATGCAGAGGTCCATATGTGCATATTAAGTATGCTTTTACTGCACTTGTTAGAGGAGATGATATATGACTTGGAAACCTAGAGAACAGCAGAGAAAAGCTTTTGTTTTCAATTTAATGTGGGCAGAGGGAAGCTGCAGGAAACTCCAGAAGATACTGTTCATATTTCCCTCCCAAAAGTGCAGATGATTTATTCTGTATCATAAGCTTTAAGTATAGTTCATTGCTTTGCCAAGTAAAAAAAGGAAGAAAGAAGAGTCCAGCCAACTCCCTCAGGCTCAACATGTCTGTCTTCTTTTGGTTTATCTATAGCTTCTTCTCCATAATCTTGCTCTTTCCTCCTTGCAGTGAAAACATTTGAATGGGCAGATGTGACAGAAAATCTCAGACTGAGAAGCAGTATTTCAAGTCTCAAATGAAAATATTAAATCATTAGAATGCCAAAACTTGAGAAAACAGGTCCAGGATATACCTTATACATCTACAGGTCAATAAAGGGACTGCTCATCCTGCAAAGCGTTCACTGATGCTAAGGACTTTTTGTCTTGCAAAGGCTTCCTCCAAAACTTAATTTTGTTTTCCCTTCTTCATTCTTAATACTTTATTTCACAAGGAACTAAAGCACAGACCATTAGATGGATTAGTTTTCACAGGTTTCTTTGTACCCGGCTTCTTCACCCAACACTCATTTGCTTTGCCAGCCCCTGGTGCTGCTAAGCAGGGTCTGCGGGAACTGAAAGCAGCCACTCCAGAGGCAACACCTCATAGTGCTGCCGACCCCGTTTCCCGTACCACTTTTTGTCTGCACAACTGTGGTGCACATGTAGTTCCCCAAGAGCCAGGTAATGCTTTACGTGAAGCTAAGAGAAGAAATCCAGGGCCATTTTAAAGCTGGGGTCTGCCATGGGCTTAGCAAAGGCTCTGCCGTTTCCTCCATCACGGGCGGCTGGCTGGGTGCAAGCCCTGTGCCTGTGTTGCCTTCCAGGCCAAGTGACTTCTCTTCCAGTAGAAAGCCATGAAGACTTTTATCCTTAGAGCTGGAGGCCAAATACCACTTTGAAAGTGCAACGGGAATGGTTGGACAGAGTTTAATGGATGGAAAAAGCCATTAAAGCTTAAGATTCTGACGTAATAATAAAAAATTTCTTTAGATTCTGTATTAAAAAAGAATAAGTATGACCTGTGGGCCAGCATGAACAGCAAAAGGAAGAATCACAAAAAAGAGAAAAAAAAAGGAAGAACAAAATTGTCAAGTGCTATTGTGTGGCTAACTGAGGAGTGAAACAGTTCAGCCATGCTCCATGGTGACCCCTAGTAAAATAATGATGGACCAGTAAACCTCAAGATTTAGGTAATCTGATACATTTTCAGCAACTCATATAGCAAAGTTAGAGTGCCTGGGATCAAGGCCATCAAGATGAGCAACGACAAAAAAAATCCAAACCAAAAATATGATGTACATTGGATCTTTCATTAGTGGAAATGCACTCCATTATAGGCTGACTCTGGTTTTAGACTTTAGAGAAGCCAAGCACTCATTTATGAAACCACCTTTCTTGTGCCTTCCTGTTGTAGATCAAATTTATTTTCTCTGAAACCATGTGTTTCTTTCTGCTGCAGTGGCCTCACAGCACATTTATCTTCTTACACCCATAAGCTCTCTGGGACAAGGACTCTTGATACTTGTCTCATGGAAGCTGTCAGCACTTAGAAATGGAAAGTAGAATGTTAATAGTAGTTTTCTACTCAGGTATATAAGGTAATTTTGTTATACATTCTGGTAGCAGCCCATGCATGCAGTACATGAATTGCTGGGAGGATGTGACCCTAAGTCAGTATCGTGGCCAGAGCGTCAGTGTAGCAGAGATCCAGAACACCAGGCTGCTCCTCGGACAGTTCAACCTCTCAGCCCTGGTGCACCATGTCGATGAGAAACCATGAACTGGTGACTTGAAATGTGCTAACTGCATTTCTGATATCATGCCTTGGAAAGTATTTGCCACGTGATCTAATGAGGTGTCAGTGTAAAAGCCTGCATAACTCAGAAATTTCCCTGAGGGTATCAGAATAAGAAAGGGGTCCTCAGTCTTCTTGGCAAATCACTGTGATCTGCCGTGGTTAGGGCTTGGATCCCAGTTTCTACCAAGCCCTAAGTAGACTGTCCTGTCCTGCAGTTGCTCCTCAAGTTTCATGATGAATGTTTTTCCACTATGATCTGGTTAGCATTATAAAGTTTAGTAAGTCTTGGTGGCAGACCACCCCTATGTTCAATGAGGAGCCCTTCTAAAACCAAATGGAGACCCAGTGAAATAAATCAAGATCAAACTAAACTATGCTAACATTTGCTCAGTTAGCAAAGGAATCACAATCAAAAGTATAAATCAAGGAATGACAAAAATCATAGAATCATAGAATGGTTTAGGTTGGAAAGGACCTTAAAGATCATCGAGTTCCAAGCCCCCTGCCATGGGCAGGGATACCTCCCACTAGACCAGGTTGCCCAAGGCCTCGTCCAGCCTGGCCTTGAACCCCTCCAGGGATGGGGCCTCAACAACCTCTCTGGGCAACCTGTTCCAGTGCCTCACCACCCTTAAGGTGAAAAACTTCTTCCTAATGTTTAGTCTAAACCTGCCCTCTTCCAGTTTATAGCCATTCCCCCTCATCCTGTCACTACGTGACCTAGTAAAAAGTCCTTGCCCAGCTCTGCTGTGGGCCCCCTTTAGGTACTGGGAGGCCGCAATAAGATCTCCCTGGAGCCTTCTCTTCTCCAGGCTGAACAGCCCCAACTCTTTCAGCCTCTCCTCGTAGGAAAAGTGCTCCAGCCTTCGGATCATCCTCATGGCTCTCCTCTGGACACGGTCCACCAGGTCCATGTCCTTCTTATGTCGGGGACTCCAGAGCTGGATGCAGTACTCCAGGTGGGGTCTCACAAGAGTGGAGTAGAGGGGCAGAATCACCTCCCTTGACCTGCTGGCCACACTTCTTTTGATGCAGCCCAGGATACAGTTGGCCTTCCGAGCTGCGATTGCACATTGCTGGCTCATGTTGAGCTTCTGGTCAATCAGCACACCCAGGTCCTTCTCCTCAGGGCTGCTCTTCAGCCATTCCCCACCAAGCCTGTATTTGTGCTTGGGATTATCTTGTGGGCTCAGCCCATAGTTTTCAAGCATGACTGCTCAAAATTAAGACCCCAATCCACAAGAAAAGGCACTGAATCTGCAGTAAATGGAGAGGGGAAAAGAAGAAAAGGAAGAGGAGAAGAATATCACGGTACCTATTGAAGTCAAGCCACCTGTATATAGCTGTAAGTCGAGATAGGAATTCAGGAATCCATACAGGGAAATGCTAGCCCAGGCTTCCAGCTGATCTGAAGCTACTGCAGCGAAGGTGGTGTGTGCGAGATTGAAGGGGTAGCCATTTAAACGTGCTTCCACCACATAGCATCAGCACAGGCTTCTAAAACAAGCCTCCTCAGCATTCTGCCAATATGCCTTCTTGTCTGCCAAAATACAAGCTGCCTGCACAATCAGAGGGCATTGCTGCACATATGGTTTTGACAGATTAAAATATGTGAATTTTTTTCTCATTTCTTTTTCCTAGGTTTCCCACACTTACTGTCACATGGAGACTAATTCTAGATATTGAACCAATATTACCCGATGGCTTTCAGCTCAGTCATAACTTCTGTTCCCTTTTCACTGTGCATCCTTTCTACAACTAACTCCCGAGATCATAGCACACTGCTGCACATGAAGAAACGCCACCTGCCCTGTGTAACACCTTAGTGCTGCCCAATCTTTGGGCCACTTTTTTTTACAGTATCTGGAGGCATGTGGTCATGAATCAGTTCTGACAGCACATGAATGGGCTAGAAAGAAAATAAAAAATTCCCCAACACAGAGAGCAAAGAAATTTAAATTTATGGGACTGTAGGAAGAGTTCAAGGAAAGAGAGAGGAGATTCTTGTGGCTGAACAATAAATGAGTTGAGTCCCTCCAGAAAGAAAAGAGTAACACAGAAGAGACCCATAAGCCAAAAGGAGTAAGAAAAGGAGCACAGAATGCTAGAAATAATTCAAATTTTATCACTGACTTCATGGGATCAGGGCTTTCTTTTCTCTGCTGTCCCCTAACCCCTACTTGTTTGCACAGGGAATAAACTGGCAGGATTCAATACAGATTTTTAAAGTAAAAGTGCTGATAGACTTTGGGTAAAGGAGTTAATAGGATTTCATCTACATCTCCTGCAGCTTTTACACAGGTGACTCGATTTTAAGATTTTGCCATGTCCTGTTTATTGATATTTACCTTTTAGTTCTGATTTATTTATGTTTATTAATAAATAATTTCATTAACAAAGTTAATTATCATGACAATGCTCACTTTAGAAAGAAAAGAAATTCAACCTTGGTTTTCAAACATCTAAAATTTTTAACACAGGAAGTTACGATGCAGCATATCTGGAGCTTTTAAAGCTGCTTTTCTTTCCTTTTTCCTTTTCTCTTGATTAGCTACTTGGCAAATATTTGTTTGTTTTAAACTAAATCAAATTTTCTACCTCCTCAGCAAGATTCATGTTTATTTATACCTGTAAGGTACAGTAATTGAGAAGTAGCAAGATACACCCGTGACAGAGGTCTACGTGAATCTCCAATTTGTGTTAGATCTAAGAGAGAACAGCCAGTGTAAGTAACAATTGCTGGAAGGTAGCGTTCATGTCTAAGCAGATGGAAGCCAGATATTTTAAAACTAACTGCAACAATTGAATTAAATATAGCCGTGTCTGAAGCCAAGGAAAATCATTCCATTGCCTTCACCGAATTTCAGATCAGCACAGCAGAGCATGTTATAGCTCTATATCTCACGCTTTACAAAATACACCTATCACCCACACTTTGTAGATAGGGCACTTGAAGCAGAGGAAAGTTAAATGATTTGATGAAGCTCACTCAGAACAGTAGCAGAGACAAAAACCTGAAAATAAAGGTGTCTATTCCCTCCCAGAACTTCTCGTTGCTGTAGACTACACCAGTCTGTCAATCTCTACACCCTTCCAGTTCTGTAGGTGTAAGTGTTAGGAGAAACGCTGCTGAGCGTGTGACAAATCACCTTTTACTACAAAGTCCACTAAAGGCACTGGAAAAAGACCTATTCGTTTTGGTGAGCCCTGGACAGAGCACTAAGGGAAAATCTGGAAACTAAGATGAAGTGTCCCAGTCTGCACCAGTTCATGCAAGAGCCAGAGCACAGCCAGGACAGCCGTGAAGGTACAACTGAACGGAAAGAGCAGGACACAGAAAACCAAGCGGAAAATGTTAAGGTGAGCCAACAAATGGGCTTAGCAACTACAGGAGGAGTCCAGATTTACAACAGTTCCCGATTTATCAAAACCATCACACAGTTGCCAATGGGGAAATACAAAGGGGCAAAAGCCACCAGTCCATTTAATAGCCATTTTTCTGTCCTACTGCTACAATAGCCAAGAGAGTTGCTCATCCCCACATGGGTATTTCCTTTGCCTCAGGTATTTCAGTTGTTTCACACAGAACACAGACGAACAAAATAATTAAATAATACATATTCATTATGAAAGGGCCAGTGTCAAGTGACATTTTTAAATTGCATCAATCATGTCTTCAGACTATTTATTTATTTAAAAATAATTTAAAAATTAACCGAGTCATAGACAGGAAAAAAAAAAAAATTAAAATCATGCCTTTGGATCCCAGTTTTGAATTCTGTTATCAGCACCCTCTGTATAAACAATTACAGCTAGTATGAAAATCCAACAATCAGTATGTAAGCTAACTCCTTATATTGCTTATGTAAAAAACCAGAAATACAGACAATAGACATTGATTACTGGCACTCTGGCAGGTGATATATAGTATAAAATGCAGGTTCACTGATAGATCTGTATAAGACATAGACTGGTTCACTTTTAACTGTTTTTTTGTCTGGGATTAAACCTTTTTTTAGTAAGCCCTTTGTACCCGTTGACTGTGAAAAGCTTGGAAAGTTGCAATTTATAGAACCTGAAAAAATTAGTATTGTAACATTGAAACACAAATTGTTACGAAAACATACATGCCTAAAATTTGAAACACTAAGAAATACGTGTAAGTAGATTTTCATATTTTGTTTTTCTTTTATAAGAAAGACAGAAAATAAAGTCTGAGTTGCAGGATTAGAAATCTGTGAAAAGAAACAGAAATCTATTTCAAAATGGAAGTTATCTTCACAGTGCTTACAATTGCTTTCTGCCTCTGTCTCTCCCTTTGTTTGGCCCTTTCAGATTCCCGTTTTTCATACTCTTTGCGGTATTCTTCCCTCTTCAGTCTTTCATGCTGATATTCCTCATAGCTGTCATATCTAGGAAACATAACTTAGTCATTAAATCAAGCACCCTCATTTGTGAATGTACAATTAGTAACACAACTTCTAGAATGCTTCATTATCTCTTGAGAACCTGCTGCAAAGCAAACCAAATGCAGGCAAAACCGACTACCTGGGTCTGCGACTATACGGTGATCTGGATCGCGATCTTGCACGTAAGGGAGAACTTCTGTATGCTCGGTGTCTGCAGTGGCTGGACTCATAATAGCAACAAGATCTGCAGGAAGAAACACATTCACCTCTGTCATTCAGTTTGACTCTATTGACACCATTTTCTACCTCTCTGCCAAACATACAATTTCTTCTAAGCCACCAGTGAGATTTTCCAGTGACAGTTTGCGATCTCCTAGTCAACTAAGGGGCCTCAAGTGATTTCACCCCCCCGCCCTTCTGTAATGTTCCTCATTGAGGCTAACACAGAGCAGAGAGTCAGCCACTGTCAACTTCATCTGATAGGGACTACAGCTAGATTGGCACCGGGCTGCTCGCAGATAATGGGAAAGGTTAGCTGTGTACATCTCTCACCAATTGCTCCGCTGCTGACCTGACTGGCTCCACTCAGAAAGTGTAAACTTGGCAAATTTAAAGGATAATGGCAACAAGTGTTTCTGCAGCAACCCGGTAACCTTCAGAGTTAATCAGCTCAGGAGCAACAGAATGAGTTGCACTGGATTAAGTTATTTCTTGGTTTTTTCTTTCCTCTAAGTTGCTTTATGTTTTTGCCATTTTTCTTCTTAACTATGATGACGATACATGAATTTGCTGTACTGTACCTTGAAGAGGATCTACTATGGGGCGACCTTGATCTCGATCGGGAATATGGAGAACGGGAACAAGACCTGCGTTGAGGAAAGGACCTTGATCTAGAGCGTGTCCTTTGGGATCTTTGAGAAAATAAGGATTTGGGTGGAGACACTGAATCTCTGCATGGAGAGTTAAAAGAAGAGCAAGAAGGCGATACATCAAATAATGAATAGGCTTGTGTCCCATCCCAAGGGTAGCATAGTTTATCACTTTCATCTTCACTGTCATCAAAGAGACCATCCATTGCTAGTCCTGAATTTATAAACATAGGTAGTTTGGAGAATTGTTCATTACTGTAATCACTGTCCCTCAGTTCTCTGGTCTTATCTACTTCTTCATCAAAAACAGCTTGGCTGGGGTGACCAAAATGCTTATTCAGTTCAGCCCGAATTTCCTGGTCTTGAAGCTGTTTTCTGTTATTACCATGGGATTCCTGCTTACTTGTCTGTAAAGTCTCTTTCTTGAAATACTGGTCTTGTTCTAAAGAAGAACAAATCTGACACTGCCACCCAGGTGAAGAATCCTTAAATTCTAGTTGTCTGGAGTCCTGAAGTTCCTGGGATATTTTAATGTGTATTTCCGATTTCGAATTCACAGATTGACAGTAGTCATGGTCACCAAACAGCCGCAAACTGGGCCGTTTTGTCTTTCTCTCCTCATGTCCATTGGACAGTACTGTAGTCTTGCTAAGCTGTGCATACAGCTCAGACTGTTCTGGACCCTTCTTGATTGGGTTATTTCCTTGAGAACCGGAAGACTCACTATAGCGGGGCTTTTTTGAAGGTGGTACAACAGTCTTGCATGATGACTTCGGCTTAGGTGAAGTCCTAAAAGGATTATCCTGGTTGGCTTTGTGAGGAGGGGTCGTAGGTGGAGTTAGGCCTAAGGGGGGAAAAAAAGGAGGAAAGGAATATTTTTAAGCACACATACAGCATTTATAAAGGCAGCTCATGGGCCTCTTTAAAATAGATACAAAGCAAGACCCCATCCTATGTCACTTTAATTTAACACTACAATTACTGGGAATGAGAGTATTTAGGGTGTGAGACACCAAAGGTCTGGAAACAACAATAGCAACAGTACTAATGCATTGCCATTAATCTTCAGCATCGTTTCTGCCCCTCCCATTCCCTCATGACATCCGCCTCTCTCTCTGTAGATTTTGATAGAAAAGATCAAGAGATAAAAACCAAAAGGCTTTTTTGTTAAAAATCAAAAAGATTTTGATATAAAAATCAAAAGTCAAAAGACTGGCACCGTCAAAAGCCTAAAGAAATTAGCCCACAAAAACCTGAATAAAAGCAAGCCCAAGAAAATTAAATGAGTGCTACCAAAGGAACCTTGGTAGGATGCAGAACTTGAATGCAAGGAAGTACAGCAACTCCACAACTCGACTGCAATGACTCTTTATCTCCACAGTTCATTAACTTATTAAACCATCGCTAATGTATGTATAATACATTCTTGTAAGCATAACTAATACATTTTGCCTGAAATGCGGTTCTGCAACCGAAACCCAAGTGAACAACAGGACAACTGCAACTGTAACGAACCATTGCATTTAGAACTAAATATTAGTGAGAGTCATGAAGTAGGGAGTTAAAATGAAACAGAGAAGTATTCAAAGACTAAAGGTATCACTAACTACCAGGATTGTTCACATAACGTAACAGGTTATATCACTATGGTGAGACGAAATTGCAGGAAGGACTACAGCCCTTTCCAGTCAAAGCTGGGAACTGAAGCAGCATCTTCCAATTATTTTCATAAGGGTAGAATACAACTCTCAATATTTTCTGTGGAAACCATAGAATTCCTTCAGACTTTACAAGAGGATAACCAGGACATCAGGGCAGAGTATCATCAAACTGCAGCCACTGTTCAGGAAATAATTACTCTTCAGGAAGGTACTTACTATGTTATGTTTGAAAAGTTTGCTTCTGTCCAACTGACCCTAATGTTATTTAGAAGTATATATGCTTAAAATTAAACAAATTAGGCCAAGATCAGGGAGTTCTCCTAGATAATCCAGACCATCCTTAAGCACTCCAGAGGCTGACGCTGCCCAAAATTTCTTCTAGCCCAAGCAATGAACTTACTTCCTTAGCAAGAATGAAAAGAGAGGGCAGACACACTTACAGGAAACGTGTATTTTGAACATGGCTATAGTGTTTTGTTTTGTATTTTTAACCATGCAACAGAGCTCAGCAGATCAATGCAAATGGAATACGTTTTACAGTGTTTTGCTGTAAAGAAGGAAAAGCGTCCATCAATGCATAGTGCTCCCTAAGGAGCATAAATGGAGACTGGGAGTCCCATTGCATTAGCTGCAATGAATTTTTTCCAGAAAAAAAAAGAAGATAGAAGAATCAAGGCGTGAATACTTGATGTGAGAGAGAAGCTTGATTTTGTCTGAATGCTTGGAAAAAATGGTTATGAGCTACCCGTGGCTATGTGAAGACTTCGCCTAATGCCACCACAAAAGTCAGGGAAACTGAGGCAAAGATAATGACACCTAAACCACTAGTCACCTCAAATTTGAATTTAATAGTAAAAAAGTTTTGTGCAAATTCATCACTGTTAAACTACTTCCCATAATTTGAGTCCTCAATTTTTTCTTCTTTCCCAAAAATTCACTTGAATCAGCAGTATTTCACACCTTGTCCACCTCCTCACTAACAAATATTTTTGACTACCAAATGAATTTTTGCTAAAATGAAGAGAACAGTCCTCTTCAAAATTCTACAGTAATAATTTCTGGGTTAAAACTTCACGCTCAGATTCAACAAAGATTTGAGTAAGCAAAAAGTGTTTTCTAGATAAAAAATTTAGAACTGTCACTTTTACTCATTAAATTACACAGTCCATGAGAGGCTCTGAGGTTAGTTACTGATTTTTGAATGTAATTTTAAAGAAAGAATGAAGCAGAAATACAACCATCCACAATGAACATGCGTATTTAAGAATTTCAGGCAAAGAAACCTCAGAGATAATCCAACATTCCAAATAAAATATTGTTTCCATTTCCACTTTTTTAAAGCTAGCCCTGGCAGGAAGCAAGCTAAACACAGAGCACAACGATTTCCAGAAGCCCTACAAGGAGTCCAACAATCTTTAGAGGAGGGAAAAAAAAAAAAAACCCTACCAAAAAACCCCTCGCAAAAGTACAGACTGAGCTGCATTTCTGGCACTTCTCTTGCTGGCAGAACTGTGCTGGGGACAGACTAAGAAAGGGCTTCCTCGTGGCATTTTGGCTTTTTTCCTGGTTTTCAGCAGAAGCAGGAAGCGCACAGGCAAGTAGAAACAGATAAAAGTTGGAAAATGTTCATTTAACTTTTGAACAAACTTCCATCGGGGAATGGAGGAAGGAGTGAAGTTTTGAATTCACGTCACCACTACAGAGTCCACCTTCAGCATGTCCCATGACCAATCTCCAAACCGTGAACTTTGAGAAAACCAGTTGGCTGCACACTTGCCCATCTTCACGCTAATCCCTGGTAATCTTCACTGAGGGCCATGATCCCACATCAACAGCGTTACAATATGCTATAACTGTTGGATTATTTCACACGCGCCGATTTCTCCGCCAACGTGTACATGTTAGCGTTGACAGTACAAGGTATATTCTGTGCTCTCTCTTGAACTTAGCAGGTTTTGACAGATTTATGGAAGGACAGATGGCCATTACGGGCTGAAGGCTGACAAGAGGCAGTTCAGAGCATTGTTAACACACTTGCACAAACTCTCAGCAGTGCAGCGCTGTGCAGAATGTAATTCAGACTATAGCTTTTTTATTGCTGCCTATTTTCTTTTGTCAAAAGAGCCTGCTGTGCACAGCAACAAATGGCTGCCATTACCCAGAATGTAATGGGTGTCAGACAAATCACGTAACACAAACAATCAAGAGTATGTAGGTCATATTTCAACAGAGCACAACCTTAGCAATATTTATGATTACTGCATTGAAATGTGCTCTATAATAAACAAGTACCTCTACATCACTCACACTTATGTACTTCTGCACAGCAAATCTGTTAGAAGTGGTACATACTCTACAATCATCCCCCTTAAACAGTCTTTTTTCTTTTTAAAGTAAAAGGCAAGTATTTTTTCATGACATGCTATAAAACCATTTTCTTTGTAGGGACTTCTCTTTAACTGAATGGCTTTGGTAAATGGTACATTTGCACTTTGCCTTGCTCTGTCTATATACTACGAACTCACTCTGTGAGTGAGTGAACACACTGTGATCTTGTGCTTGAAAACAGTGTACATCAATTTGCCAGCACTGCTGCCGAAGCAGCACTGTCGTCCTCATGTCTGTGCAACAAAAGGTGTTTGCACGTGTGCCGACTCTGCCACCTCGGCCGCGCAACTTGTTTCAAGAAAGTCTCTGGGGAACTACTTTTGATACTTTCCAAAACTTTACGAAAAAAAAACTCTTAGTAACTCTTGGCTCAGCTAGGTTGATAAGCAGAAATCAGGGGAGTGCCTTTGCATAAAACATGACATCTTGACTTTTTAGGACTGATTTGCAATGCTGTTTTACATAGACACCGATCTTTCTAAAACTGTACTGTAACTGTTAGCATTTAAATGTTTGATGACGTGTGTTGTGCTTTGAGGCGGCTGAGAATTAGTGTCTTTTAGGGAATGCAGCCCCAGAACCTTTCTACATGTGCACAGGGCTTTTGAGAGGCATTGAAAATTAATACTTTTATACCTTTTAAGTTTGAAAAGGGATTGTCAAGGGAAACATTATTTAAGGCCACTTAAAACACTGAACACAAGGTAATAGCTTAATTCAGCAAAAGAATCAGAAGAGCTTTTGTGTGGCACAAGATTGCAGAAGCCAGGAAAATATAATAAAATTAAATAGTCATCATATAATAAAAAACTACGTACTGTTGAGTATTCAGTTTAATCCTGTTGTCAGTGCTGGAGAGAATAAACACAGATGCCTGAAAATATCAAATAATTTACTATATTTTACTCTCTCTGGACAACTCTCTGCATCTCACGTCTCATTTTATCAGAAATCATTCTGAGGTCAAACAAGTTCTTACGTGATTTTAAGTATTTGTTCTGACAACTAAGAGGTAACACAGATCTAGAGGTGGGCAAATAGCAAGGTATAAGTATCCTCAAGGATGCTCATCAACTCCGAATCACTATTGAAGCTGATTGTGTTCATACAGCCTTTTCTGTCATCTTTTTGGAGAAATCAAATTTTGCACCCAAGAAAGACCAGTGAGGAGTTTTACGCTCAGTTAAACTACAGGGATCTGTGTGCAAATGAGAGACATTTCACCAAGTCACCTGTTGCGGATAAGAGGGTGGAAATAGCCTTCCAGTTACTGATTGAGCCTAAGTGTGTAAGTGTGTAAACTCACTTCACGCACTTACGTGATGGCTTTGAGTATTCAGGAATGAGGGTTTAAAAAGAGACTGAGACAAACAGAGCACGCTGAATTTCAAACATTTAGGAGCCATGTCATCTGACTTTGGGCATTTACAAGTTCAGCAGAAAGTCCAAGACAATCATTGAGGAGCCCTTGATCACCCAGAGAAACACAGCCACCTCCAGAGGGTGAGTCATCCTCCTAGTCCCTGCGCCTGCAGGTGCCCCCTCAACCTGACTGGTGACAAAGAGGAAAGAGCTCTTCCAGTGACAAAGAAACATCCCATATTCCTGGAAGACATTAGAGAGGTTCAAGCCACGGCCTCTTAGCAAGGTGTTGGCAATGCAGCTAGCTGTGGAAACAAAGGGAGAAGGACCTCTTGCGAGCTTCTTACTCAGAATGAGACTCTCCTTACACAAAAATTTCTACGACTCCCTCCATACCATGATGTTCTGGTCCACTTTTCTTAGAACAGCACTAGAAATCAGCTGTAGGAGTTGGGCTTTTACAAAGCAATGGACTTATTTTATTCTTCTATCATAGGCCACTTATTTAAAGTGCATTCAAAGAATTCTTATGTGTGGCTTGTAAACACTCTGAAAAATATTTGCTCTTTGTAATTTGACAAATCAATGTTCTGACAGTTTTAGGGAGGACAAAGTTACATTCACAACTACTAACAAATCCATTGTAAAGCAAGATACAGCATTGGCAAGAGAATGGTTTCAGTTTGACTTTAGATACATGAATCCAAAACGTGCATGTGACGAAGATTGATGGCTCAAGTGGGAAATGCTTTTATTTATTTATTTTTCTACTCTATAGTTAATTCATCAGTGAGGGAACCAATGTTGTTTTCAGCAGAGAGATCAAGGGAGCTGCTATTTATATTAAAACAGTTTGTGCTTCGATAGTGCGAGCAGCAGTGCTAATGGTCTTTTCAATTCGGCAGTGAGATCAAGGCAACTCCTATTTAAATTATAATAAATAGTGCTTGTACAGTGCAAGCTGCCCTATATAAGGACAATGAGCAATGCGGTTATCTGGATATAATTTGGAGTTGCCAGGGTCTCACTAAAGAACTCCAAGGTATTATTAATCACTACTGCCACTATTTTTCTCCCCCTTTTTTTTTTGGTTGTTTTTTTTTTTTTTTTTACTGAAGTGGGTCCCAATTCTGCCATGATTTACTCACATACATTGTAAGTTCTTCAGCACTTGATGTTGTTTCCGTTATGACTTGCCTGCTTCCAGCACAAGCAGACTAGACTCATGATACAAGGCACTACTGCAATACAAATTAAAGACATGCACAACCACTCATCTTTTTATAGATTCATATACATATATGAATATAAAAATAAAATCTATATGTATGTGAAGGCAGAGATTAATACAGCTACCAAGTCATGAAATACAATCTCCTGAAACCTCCTCACCAGGCATTGTGAAGACCAGAGCAAGTACAACATGAAGTCCAAGACCCACCATCATGTACACTGCTCAGAAACATTGCCCCAACTCCCTGGCCACACACACTCCACCAACTCTTATTCTTCCTAATTATCATCAGTTTATTTTCTAGCTAGACTTTATTTACTGCCAGAGGGGAAAAAAAAACAACAACACGTTTTCATAGTACAATGTTCCTGTTCACATATTCATCCAGTCCTGCTGTTTAGCAGCTTCTGATGCATCTTTTAATGTGCTAGTTCTGGTTATACTGTTAAGAAAACTACAGAGCTGTTTTGTTTCCTCTTCTGTGCACAGCTGATGGAGCAGAATGAATTTGGTAATACCAATACCATTTCTGTTGCCATTATGGAGGCAATACAAGAGGACTATGCAGGGGTCAGACCGACTCCCACTTTCTGTCTCGTCAGCTGATGGGAAGAGCAGGCTGCTGACTTTCTGGCTGGGAGAAAACACTGCTCCCTTCACTGATTTCAACGGCTGCTTGTACCACTCCGCTGTAGTCACCTCATCTGCCCCGTTCAGCTGGCAGCACTAAGCACTGACTTACCAGAGTGCTTACAAATGGGCACCCTCGTGCAGATTTGCTCTCCAGTAATGATAAAAGAGGCTTCTCCATGCTTCAGGCCTACTGGCACTGAACGGGATTATCCTGCTGCATACAGTGAATTTTGCCCTGTTTGTGTTGGCTTTGCAAAAAGGCGGCGCCTTGGAAGGATGCTTCCTTTTCTCATGAGAGGGATGTTAAGACTGCAGGTTTTCAGGACATGGCAGAGGAAAGTATGCATGTTTTAATGCTGAATTAATGAAGAAGTTTCTGAAAAAGCGAAATGATGGTTGTAGGGAGGTGAAAGCCCAGAGTATGTACACAAATCTGGTGCTTGGGCCTGCTCTTGTGTAAGGCTGCCACTGAATTCAGGGGCACCAAGCTGACTTATGGTACCTGAAAACCTATTTTGCAATGTCCCCCAAAACACTAGAGATCACATAATTTAGAATCCACTGTTATCCTGAGAGAAACATGTGCCAAGTACACCTCTCATTTTTCAATATTACATGACTGAGAAAGAAAACAGTCTTGGCAACAGCTCAGGTGGAGCTCAACATGTACTCTTGTGCTCCATTCTGGACACTTCAGGAAAACAGAAGCAAAACAGAGTTCGGAGGAAAGCAATAAAACAGATCTGAGTCTGAAGGAATTGACTTCACCAGAAAGAAGGGCAGCCGAATTAAATGAGTACAACGGGTGATGCATGAACTAAACCTGCACATGATAAAAACATCTACAAATCTTCAAAAGGTACAACCACCAGGGATCTGAAAGGAGGAGAAGGATAAACGGAGGTTGTGTGAAGCGTGCTAACGGAAGAAATAAAGAGAAAGCAAGAATATAAAATGAATACCAATTTAAAAAATTACCTCTAAGCTATGGAATAGTTTTTCAGTGGTAGAGGAGAAAGCTGTTATTTGTGACATATTAATCTAGAATTGACAAAGCACTGAAACATGCAGTCACGTACAGCCCTAGACCGGCCTGGAGACAGACTGGATGACATAACTTTTCCATCTGTAACATCTATTACACTGTGCTGTGGGGTTTGTCTTTGAAAGATGTTGCTCAGCTGTACACAAATCTATGGGGAAATGGGGAAGTATAACAGATAAATGGTTTCATTCATATTTTCCCAGAAATTATGCTCTCTTGTGTAGGTTTGGAGCCATATTTTCAAACATGTTCCTTCACAGGTAACTGGATAAAAAGTCAATGCTAATCTGCACTGAAGTTAATCTACTGGAGACCTCTCTGAGATCTCGGTGTACATGTGGTATATTAAAATGAAGAAACACACACACAAGCCATGCGTAAAGGAAGAGCCAGCACTCCCCATTTCTCACCTGCAGTTCCAGAGAGTTCCACACTTAAGGTTTGTTCAATAGTCTTGTTCTCAAATGGGGAACCCTTGGGATCACTGGAAGACAGGGCACATTTATAAAAACAAGCTGAAATGGAGTTGCTGTAGCCAAAATCTATTGAACCCCCCTCCCTTTTATAAATGTTTGCACTTTTTAGTACTTACTTTGGTGACTCAGGCGTCAATGGAAGTGATAAACTTGTTGGTTTGGCTAAAGGGAAAAAGAAAACAATTATGGAATATTTAAATACTCCATAACGTATAGTAAAAAGGTTTCTTTATATTTTGGTGCTGGAATCCCATGCCAATCAGGGCTGAACTCTGATAGTTCAATTCAGTGTATCTTACAATAGATAAATAAGGAGACTCATCCTGATTCCTTATTACTGGTACCAAAAGGGCACCTAAATTTCAACAATCATTTACATCAATTACTGTACCTCTGAAATGCAGTATGCAACCCAAATGCCAAGAACCTTTTAGAAGAAGAGTGGTACATGTTAAAAATCAATGAAGAACTCTACAGGATACAGTGTGAAAATGTTATTTCTCTTAGAGTTAATTTAGACTACAGTTCACGTTTTATTTGGAAACAGAAGCAGCAGAATAACTACGAAGTAACAGAACGTTATGAATATTCAGTTAATTTTACTTCTACAATATACAATTTTATATATAGCACTGAGAATAGGTCATTTCTATGAGGCCAGAGTCCAACCTGTTATAGTCCAAATTTCTGCAAATTATCCTGCAAACTACGACAAGCCATGGACATAGTCACAGATGGTTAAAAATGGGGCTGAAGCTCTCAGCACTACAGTCCCAACACACATGCAAAAACCAAAGCTCTATCTATAAAAATACAAGTCTTTGTCACTTTTATTCATGCAAACTTGTATTTCCCAAAGCAATCCAAGAGCTAGGATATTGGAATACAACTAAGTTTCTTTTAATTGACAGTACAATGTTTAAAATTTAAAAATAATATTACTTGCAAATTTTACTTTTCAGAAGTTAGATTGATGTTGAAACACAGAGAGCATTGTACCAAGAACAACAGCAGGGGATCTCTTCTGCAAATTAATTACTTAAGACAAAATGTTCCCCTTGAACACTCCTGCACTGCAGATCTTTTGTCCAGAGTGTCACTACTGCGTATTTCGTATTCATTCCAGGCTTGGCGCTCCCATCAACATTAAAGGATTTTGTATGCAAATTGATTACTTTTATAAGCTCTAGAGCATTCCCGAAGTAATATTCCATTTTTTTAAAAATTAACTCAATTCTCAAGAGCTGCATATTGTTCCTCCTCCTACCCATATGAAAGTTAGAAAAGGGAGCTCAGGTGTTCACCTCGGGCTCACCTTCCTCAGAAGTCACTGCCAGAGTGAGAAGATGCACCTTAACGAGTTATTTGTCTGATCCAGCACTGCCGCTGATTTGTGCATAAAAACAGGTGTGGTAAGACTGAATGTAACCTGATACGTCTTTGTGTGTAATCTATGTACATCTAGGGATACCAATGTTTGCCGGTGGCTACCTAGAGGTAAAACTGGCCTTAAAAAGCCCAGACCTTACAGTAAGGCTCTGGAATTAAGTTTTATACAAAGGCTTCCTCTTTTTCTTTTAGAGGATAAAAATCTGCATACTCTTAGCCAATTTAGGCTTTCTACGGAAGCTGAATGTGTAAGAGGTATTTAAGCCTCTAAAAAGTCTCATTCTAGCTCTCATTAGTCCCGCATCAGAATAGATATATAAAATTCTGAAGCACTGAGGCACAGTGCAAACCTGCCAGAGATGGGCACAGAAACAAGGCGTTATCTCACACTCGTACGTATTCATTTTAGGCAGATATCACTGAGCTCTCCCACTGAGAAATTCCCATATCAAAACACCCATCAGTTTTCTTATTGCTAGGCAAGGGCTTGACCAAACACTATTCCTGCAAAGGATTTGTCCTCACATACAGCTATTGATAGTGTAAATATTTAGCCAAGACACTATTGTTTTCCATGGTGCCTGTTTATTAGAGTTTCAAGGTCTACTGTGGCGTGTATTTTTCTTATTAAAAAGGATTCACATGAAGTTGCTTGTCCCTGTAAATTGAAAACATTCAGGTTCAAAAGAACTAAGTTTCCTCATGGGCAAATTTCAATGCAAAACCACAGATGATCTTTGGCATGAATGGGTTTGTGGACATTCCCGTGGGTTTGCAATATGTTTGCAACAGTAACCCTAAAGGAAAATACCATTTGACTTATCCTTTGTGAGCTTTCCCTAACTTTGAGAGAAAATATCAGACCCTGATTATTTCTTAAAACAGAAGGAGCCAATTTTCTTGTACTTTTGATTAAATGTATGAACAAATGACTGCAGGTCTGCAAATATCAGTTAAATTTGCAGGGTTGATTCTGCATGAATTGACTGTCCAAGCTGCAAGCATTATATTCTTGTATTTGTATTATATGCAAATCCATTGATATTGAAGTCATATATTGGTGTATGAGGCAAATTTGCTGAAAAAACAACATTTCAGAAGCCTGTAAAATAAACTGCAGGAATTAAGGAAGAGAGTAATTTCTCTCTGCCTGCCATTCCACCTGCAATTGGTGTTTTTATATATATATATACACACACACACAATATAACCAAAGTCACAGTTATCTGTTAAACACTGGTAAGTTAGCTATATGTCCCTTTGGACTGTCCTAACCTCCTCTTCTGCACTGTTTTCACAACACTGTGCCCTGCTTCTTTGCACTGAATCTACACAATTGCCTCAGCTGGGGAAAAAAATGCAGCTCTGATATGAAGATTTTATAATCTGTATTTATGTGTGCGTGTGCATAATTCTATGTATAACATACACGTGCATATAGCGTGTTATACATGATAAACCTTATCATGTATCATCTTAACACCCAATGGCGTTAATAAAGCCTGCTGTAACTTCTGGCAGGTCTATGTTTCTGTACCACTGCGGTGAGAGACCCAGGTTTTACACGTACAGTTCAGTCTGGATTTTGCTGTGAAACAGACTGCTGAAGCCATCCAGAAGGAGTGGCAGTTGGCATCCAAGAAGCTCTAGGGGCAGTTGGATTTCTTTCTTACAAGAAACATTGTTCAGAGAATTTGAGACCATAATGAGAAAAACTATACATAGGATGTCAGAATGTACAGCTGCGAGAAGGGTATTTAGTGTCGGGAAAGGGAAGATTATTTTTATTAAGTTTGCTTATACCTCCTAGTAAAGAGTGAAAAATTAGATTTGATGGGGGCTGAAAACGCAGGGAGGAGGGAGGAGAAAAGAGGAAAACATATAGTTTACAATCGTTGCTTTAAAAAAAAACCAGAACAACATATGTAGGGTCATATCCTGATCTCTGTTGCAGCCAGATAACTTTCATTGACTTTAGTGGAGTCATCCAGGATTTACACTGATGTGATTGAGATAGGCACCTGGACTGCTAGACGCCAGGCCAATATATATACGTAGATGTATTTTAAAGTAACAGCAACTTTAAAAAAAGCTCCCTTTGGGCTTGTAAGCTTTTACAGCTTTCCTTTATCTTGGGAAAACAGGCTGGGGAAGAGGGGGAAAGAAAGCAAGAGAGTGAGCTTTAAGTTCTTGCATTGTCGTTATAGAAGCTACTTGTAATATAGGCCAGGTCTTTATGCAGGGGGAGATACTAGAAGTCAACACAAGTGTTTAGTTTTGGCCATAAAGAATCTAAAAAGAGAGAGAAAGATCAGGATGGCAGCTAAACTTTCAACTATTTACAAAATAAAATTACAAACCAGCATTCCAGCTTTAACAGGAATGACACATTTATTGCTTTCTCTGTAGCAGTGAGAGCACTATTTATTGTCTCTTAAGGACTACGTGGCAGGTTAACAATGCCTTCAGTTTTACGCTAGCAAAAAAGAAAGCTCACTAATGAACCGGTCTGCCCAGCTTGTTTAGGGGTATAATGATTTCTTAGTAGTACAGTACTCTGTGTGAATAAGTATCTCCAGCTAGCTTGGTATATTAACATATGGTATTTGTTAAACTTTTTTCCCTGAGATTCTTTTTCTGAAGCTGAGGGCAATAGAAACAGGATTAAAATTGTTTAAAAGCTAAATCTAGCTAACTAATTCTAACTTCATTACAGTGTTTTAAAATTCTCCCTACACAGAAGAGATGCCGGATTTACGATACTAATCCAAAGAACAGAAGAGGTATCGAGGGTATTCACAACTGCGGTATTTCAGCTTCCCTGCTTTACTACTGGTACCAAAGCTGTGTTCTGTGGTCCCACACCTACCTTGCAGATGATTTGTCTGAGACTGCAGATGGGGCTTCCTTTTGGAGGTGCATTTCTCTTTGCTGCTATTCCTGTTCTCTGCTGGTTTGGTCTGAGGAGGGTCATCATTTGTAGTCAGATATTTGAGAAGTTCAGAGCAGGGACGTCTTTGAGGCTTTTGCTGTTGACAAATGCTCTTCGCTTTATTGCTCCATGAATTCTCAGTCTTAAAAACAGGACATAATAAAGTAAAATAAAATAAAAAAAGCTAAAATTAGTGAGCTGAACCTTATCAGAATGGATATAGGTTTTCTGAAGAGATGAGATTTTCAATGAAGTGTTCAGTCTAAGTGTACTAGATCTATGAGCTGTGAATAATTGTTTGCAGAACAAGGAAAGAAAATTACATTTAAAATTCCTAAATGACATTTATGCAGCTTTTTATTTCATTTCTCCTACATTTCAATGTTCCTACTCAGCAACATGTAACTAACAAGACCCTACAGCGCCTTTACTGTGAACAAAAAAATAAGCTGGTTTAAACCTTAATTTGCTGCTGATTGCTTGAGCCCAGTATTCACAACTCTCTTAAGTACCCCTAAATGCTCTGTTTTCAGTTACAGTGAACGGCAAGACAAACATTGTTTAATACTGCCTGCTAACAGAATTATGTCAGAGCCCCCATTCTATCCAATTAATGGCTGATACATATCTTTTGCCAAGAATCCAGTGTCATTTTTCTTAGCTCAGACAGCTGGTAAAATGGCAGTCCCGCATCCTGGAGTCACTCATAAACAACACCAGCCCATCAGCAAATTTTATCGTACCCCCTACTACTCCGTATATCAATAAAGTAACAGACGGTGGGACTACAACTGAACTCTGCCAAGAGAAAAAGCATAAATGAAATATTCAGAGCATAAAGGAGCTCAGGTGGTTTTCTGGAACCCAGTCTATAATCTGTTCACTTTTTTTTTTTTTTTTAAAGCAGTTGCAAGATAGTAGGCAGATTAATACAATACATATGGATCTACTGCTTGCTCGGTTGCTGAAAGCATAAAAGACCTTGTTACACTTTTTCTGTAGGTTTGGTGGTTTTTTTTTTTCTTATTACAAAGATTAAGTTTGTACCTTAACAACCACAGGGCTTGTTCTGATCCTGTGATTTGTGTTTGCATGGTTTTGTGTGCTGAGACCGCTGCATTCATTGTAATTTAGCTGAGTGTTGGCTGGAGCCAGCAAGAGCTTCTTAAGCTACAAACACATCAGGGAAAGGGAGGTGGAAGGAAAAGAATAAGGTTATGCATCCTTATGGATTAAAACGACTTATCTACATTTTTGCATAGTTACTTAAAGGTAGCTATATCAATTTCAGCAAGCAAAGTACAATAAAACAGAAAGAAGGTCTTGATATTCCCCAGACCAAACAGATTTCATTTTCTTCTGGCCCGGCAGCCTACTTCTGCTCCCTTTACTGCAGTATACTGTGGGGCAAGCAGAAATGACAGGGGTCTTGGATTTCTGAATCCATGGCAAAATGAAATTCTCGGCAATCTGTTTGACAGAAGAGGCCTCTGATCTAAACAGAGGCATTAACTTTAACAGACTAATGGATACAGCGTCAAGATGCAGGTATCTGGTTCTGCTTCTGCAGAAGCCAGTGACAAGGGGCTCAAATTGGTTTTACTGAGCAAAATGCATATAAGGTTTCACCCGCATCTTCACCCAAGGTTCAGTTTTGCCCTGATTAGCACTAAGCTGGTGCTTACTGGTCAAATCAATGTTAAAGGCACAAAATTAGCCCCACATCCTGCTAGACTCAATGGACATTTCTTTTCAGATCACTAAAAGTGACGTCTAAACATATATACAAGAACAGCCCCAAGAAATTAAATATGAATTAAAACCCCTTACCCTGACTTATTTGAACATAGTGATAAGCAAACATGTCAGCCATTAGCACTAGAATCTCAAAAACAATCTCTTCAACCCACTTTTTAATAGATTGCCTTTTTAGTCATCCTATGGCTGTTTGGTGGGGTTTTTTTTCCCCACTTAATTTTCAGTTCTTTACTTGATTTTCCTTTCCAGTCTAAATGAAAAGTCCAGACCTTACTGTGACTACATCATACCCATGCAGCGGGTAGCCAGAGGCACATCCAATTCCTGTTAAACAGTAGGAAGGGTTCTTACTAGAGACGGCTCTTCTGCCTCCTGAGTTGGAGGGGTGCCGTCGGGCATTGGGGAAGGGCTAGCGGCATTTTCGTTGGTCACATCTCCATCTGTCAGTGCATCAAATGAAGGCAATCCATCCTCATCCACAGGGATGCTGTCCAGTGTTTCAGTGAGAACGGCTAGCAAGTTTGCCTCGCTCTCTTCATCTATCTTCTGTGGGAGGGGACAAAACAAAAAGCAGAACCAGGTGAGAAGAGAAAAGGAACAAACCCATGCCTCTGTATGTGAAAAAGCAGTCAAAACACAGTTAAACCAGCCCTTGAAAAGGTACCCTGCAACCGCGTCTTGGAAGATGTGATTAAGTGCCATAAAATTATCCATTTCTGCGCTCAAGAGAAACCTCTTTGCACTCACACTGTATTGCTCTAGTTTACTTTTCTTCCACAATTTTTTTTTTTTTTTTATCCGGTGTTAACAACGAGAAGTAATCACCCAGGGATTGTATTACAGGATGTGCCTAAGCTGCTGACACCTAATGACGGTGTCAGCCCAGGCTGTCTCTTCCTTTCTCTTTTCAACGTCGAACATCAGCTAATTGACCTGACAAAATTCCAAGAATCAGAGAGTAAGACAGCTAATCAGAAGACCAAAATGAATCACCGGTGAAATGTGGAAAACCCTGTTCACATATGCGGCCTGGTATAAGGGAGAAAGGTTTTCCCTTCCATACTTCTGGAAATCCTTGCACCAAAACCAAGCAAAAACCTTCTCATTCCTGAGCATTTTGGCATAAGACTAGCCATCAGGACTCATATTGTGGATGGCAGGCTCTTGGAGTTTCTTTTAAAGAGACATATTAGGCAGGTTGCCTTTGAAGTTGTCCTTTTGAGTTATGTCGTTTGAGTGCTCAATGTGACTATTGTATGCATTTATCTAATTCCAACTGCAATTATAAAAAGTAGATTAATTTCTAATCAGATGTGGCGGTAATGTTAATTTATATTAGATATCTTATTTCAGCAACAAGACTTCTTTTTGTCAAATTGAGTAAATTTAAATGCCTTCCAATTTTTTAATGAAATATAGTCCCTACTGTATATTAAGGTACAGATTTTTGGAGTACTGAGAGTTCTCAAGAATAGAATTGTGTAAAAATCATTATACTTATTTTTCAGAAATATTGGAAATTGATCTTGACAGATCAATTATCTAGGATTCCTAGGCTGATCCTAGTGCTATTAAAAGAAATGAAAAGCCCTTCACTGATTCCAAGGATATCAAATTGGGAGTTTTTCCACCACCTTCAGAGTGGTTCATCACGCTCCAGGTTCACACTGTGAAGAGATTTCAGCTGAGTTCAAATCTCATCATTTAAAAGTGAACTAGCAAGGAATAAGGCAGCAAGACAAATAAAAGCTCTCCCATCGAAAAAAAAACAGTTAAAAAAGTCAACAACAAAACATTTGCAGTAACACATCAGAAAAATAAAAAAAAAAAAAAAGCAAGTGAATCTGGGTATGCCCTCAGCATGACTTTTTTCAGTAATACTGTGTCTGACTCCGAACAGAGATGCTCATAAACCACACAGATAATTGCTCCTGCCAGGCTTCTCTGCCAAATCACACCTCACGGCTTCTTACAGAAAAGCTCTGTCTTCGAGCTAGAAAGCTACGGCAGAGCACAGACTGTTCTGGTGCTTACAGCATCATCCCCAAGAAACAAATAAACACTCAGGCAAAGCGAATGCTAAGGAGAAGCATTTACTTAAGAGGCCAAAAGAGGCTTGGCCACTGAGAAAAAGAGTCTAAGTCCCAGTATCTGGTGATTTCCACCATACCAAGCAGACACATGCACAGTGCCATGATAATTCAGTGTGCAGAGGACGGAAATAAGCAGAGGGAAGCCATCATGTGAATAAAACTGCACTCCATATGCAGCTTCTCACAGTCACTTTTTGAGAGGCAAAGAGGAAAATTACAGTGTCACTTCTAGGAAAGTATGAAAAAGGTGTTATCAGGCGAAGAAGCGCTTTGCAATGTAACAAAGCGCTGACTTTTTTTCCAACGGTGTTTCAAATCCCTTGCAGTAGGCAGTGGGATGAATGGTGGGGAGAGCCAGCCCTCACCTCCGTTGTGGCTGTGGAGGAATCTGGCTGCCTGACCACCAGCCCTGCACTGGGAACCTCTCCAGCAAGTCTAGCTGGTGGGGTGCACCACACACATCCCCCCCCCCTTACTGAGCCTTGCAGTTTACAAAGCTGACAATAAAGCTGGAAGTGTTACTATTTCTAATAGGGAATGCCTTCTTTAATAATAGCATGCCAGAAGAAACCCTGATATTTGCCGTTAGCTGCTCAGCTCTCGTGCTTTAAACAGACATTCAAGTGCGCTGACATTCAAGAACAGAAAGTTGAGTGGACACCGGTCCTCATCACAGCAATTTCAATTAGTTTTGTACAAGTTTCAACATTCAAACACCCCAGAGAAAGCACAGGATGTGACAAAGAGGACTCTGTTAAACAATTAATGTCACTTTCCATTATTGCTTCAGTCCCAATTTACAGAGCAAATAAATCAAAGTCAGCACAGATGAAGCACACTAGCTAGCTAACACATGTCTATTCACAAACGACATGGCAGCAGGAACACATTAGTCAAGAAAATGACATTGCGAGATAACCTTTTAAGGGTTTAACTATGCTAATGCTCCTAATTGTCCTAAACTACTGTTTATAAAGAAACACAATTATTAGATAAAGCAGAAATGGAGCTGAGGGGAGGTGCGGAGGGAGAGATGGTCGGGTACATCAACATCTGAGCAATAATCACTGAAGCAGCAGCTTTCCGCTTTGCTATCGCAACCTGAGTCTTGGTGTTGACAGCACTGGGGAGAAGCAACACCATGGCCAAATGCAGGCTCTTTCACGGTTTCAGCACTGTCACCGGAGAAGTTAATGTTTCAGACTGGCATCCAACCTGCGCATCACACAGGGTCAGTGAATCAAGAACTGAGCACCTTCGATCTCCACCGAGGTCAGAGGAAGCGCTATGTGGCCTCAGGAACTTGCTCCCCCCTGTCCCTAACTTCCAAGCAGGGTCACACTTAAAGGGTTTTCTTCTGTCTAAAGGAGGGGATCCTAACTATTTAGACAACCTAAATGCACTACGCTGTGTAAGAAAAAGGGTGGAGGATCGTCTCAAATCTAAAGCCACACAGCAAATACATGCAATTATTAAACACTTACAAAAACAGTTCATGACTGCATCTTGCTAACTAATGGGTCTTTTTAATGCAGAAGCAGCTATACATCACTTCCCAGCCACACCGCATACACTTCTTAACATCCTTGGTTGTTAGTTTAACATAAAGACATAGGGGCCAGAGGTTTTTTGACCCCTGTAAATTTTCACCCAGCTGAAGGAGGCAAGGAAACAGAGTATGCCTCTGAATGCATGTGCTTCCGCATTTTCTGACATCAAAAGTTTCTAGCGTATCCAGAATGGCATGAGCTCTGAAAAGAAAGATTTGGCATTGGTGTCACTGTTCATGGATGAACGCAACTGGGAAAGCTGGCTAGTGCTGTAAACTGCCAGACCACCAACTGATCCTCAAAAAAAAACAACTGAGGAGCCTAAAGACCATGAAAAGTTTCTAACTGTGCTCTTCTCTGGTTTTACATGTTTTGCTCTAACGCTTTAATATTTCTACAGCACTAAAAATAATTCTCTGTCTGAAAACACTTTATTAGTTGTGCAACAATCATATTCTAATTGGGTTTCTGCCTTCAGTAAAATGTCTCCAGAGATATTCTCTCTTTGGCCAGTGAAAAGCTATATGAAATGGAGTTGATAATTTACTCACACAAAGGTATTTAAAACCTCTACCCCTGATAATTCCTTGTCTTTTGCTTATTCTGCCTATTGATGGAGCCAGGTTCACCTTGCGGTTAGCATTTCATGTCTCTAATACCTATTAGTTGTTGGCAATCCCATTACAGAGGCCAAAGACTGAGCTGTAACGGAGATTTGACCACCTTGTCTTTCACATGCTTCCCTTTAGGGTGCATATATTGAGCAATGTTGTGATTTTTCCTTAGAATTTTCTTCCTTTAAAAAAACATGCAAAGTTTTAAACCCATCACCATTACCATCTTGAAAACCTTGAAGCCAGTGCACAGTTGTCCTGACTCTCCTGTAGCTCTCCCGCAGCCAGCACGGGTATGCTGATTCACTCCAGAAAAGGGTCAAGCCCATCATTTAGAACACCTTTTCTAAACATTAATAGTATCTCCAATACCTTCCCTCTGGTTGATTCCCTTCCGCCTTTCATTTGCGATAATTACAGGCACAGCTTTTGCTTACTGTATCTCAAGGAGTGAAATCAGCTAATGAATGATGATGCTCTAAAGTTTCTTTACTGATAACTTGAACAGCGCAGGGGCCCGTTGTGATTCATACTGAAAGATCAGGGTCTAAACTGCGGTATTAATCCACAGCCCCGAGGAGCTGGGAGCAGTGGCAGCTTGCCACGTCTTCATAAAAAACCCAGGAAACTTTGGGACAGATCCGCAGCTGGTAGAAGCTGTCACTGCTCCAGCAGCCCAGCTTGGTAAGCAATTCAGAGCAGCCAGGTGTACACCTCAACTCACGAGGGATCACCGTTTCAACATATCGACTCATTTCTCCTCAGTAGCCTAAGATCTATTCATAGCACAATTAACAAAGAAAATAAAAGATTTTCCTCCAGCTGAAAATATCCAAGTGATCTAAAAATACTAATACATTATGGCACTCCTTTCAAAAGCACAAAAATGACTTGTGAGCACATCTGGGACTTCCAACAGGACTTAATTCCTTAATGACACATTTTGGAATAAGAACGTCCTTAAGATTCACACCACTAGGAGAAATGAGGCGTTCAGATTCGCCCCTTTTTGCACACAGGGATGCGGAGGCACCAAAAAGCTCTCCAACACCACCCCAGCCCTAAGCAGCTCCCATCAGCAGGAGTAGGCGCAGATGGTATCTCAGCCCTGGCCCCACAAACCGAGCTTTGCCACCTGAGGATAAGAAGCCGCAGGCTGGGCAGAAGCACAGGGAAGGTAGGGGGAGGGAAGGGATTAGGATGCAGGCCGGTCTTCCTGCTCCTGCCAGTGACAAATGAGAGCTGAGGTCAGGGATGGTGAACGGGAAGAATTACAGCCCAAGTTTTCC